GTGACGATGCATAGAGGCACTAGCAGCCACGTCTTGTCCTGTTTGTGATCTGCTGCGTACTTGGTAAGCCACGCAGACGCCACTTCACCAGGCTGTGGAGAGCAGAACTTGGACTGGTTAACTAAATTGTACGGCGCACAAGGGATCACCATTGCCGGAGTCAAAGGACACTGAGTGTAAGCGACTTCATAGTCCGTCGTGTGCAGTGCAAAGATCAGATTGGGCTTCCCGTCTGAGTCCATGTAGGCGTGACGTTGTACTGTCACTTCAGGTAGAGTATCCGCTTCTCCACCGTCTCCCCAGACTGCGGCATACGCCGGTGCCGAGATGTCTTCAGCTGCATCGACAGCACACTGGACCGCTCTGGAGAGCTGCGAGGCCTTGCAGTTAAGTGACCGATGAAAGATCGTCCCGTCTGGTAGTACGCACTCTCGTAGTTGACAACCGGCGCGCTCGAACGCCTTGGGAGGCACCACTAGCTCTGCCATGGACCGACCGCATCGTGTATAGACTTTGGCCAGGGTGTGTGTGGGCGTTAATACGTAGCCAGCGTCCCAAAGGAAGGCACGCTGCAGGAGGCCGGGTAAGTCACCCCATGAGAGTGAATTGGTACTGAGCTGCTGCTGTAACGCGCTGGGTAGTGCATCTCTGCTGACGTCCGAGAGCTGCGCGGTGTCGTCCAACTCAGTGTTGAGCACGTAATATTGCTGGGCGAAATCGGAGTAGAGGCCAGTAAACTCAAAATTTGTATCCACGGGCACGTCAATGGATGACGCAGTCTGCAGCGTCGCGCACAGCAGCACGAGCGCTGCCAGCGGCGACATCGCCGATTTTTTAAATCCACATCACGCAGCGTCTCGCGTTGTGAGATCTTGCAGCGCTTGCTCAATACATGGAGTCATCAATCCTGGTAACCAAGTGCTACAATGAGGCCTCAAATGGTGGTGAACGCAGAAAACATGACTGTGCAGTGTTTCTGGAAGAACCATTAGACAGTATGTTGCGAGGCATATGATGGCGAGCACATTCAGTTTGTTCAAGTTTGTTTACAGCCACATGCTGTTGTTTGAAAAGGTCCACTCAGTCAGCTACATCATACCAACAATGATGGAAGAGCCGTTCTAACAGCAACTTTATTTGACAGTGATTTAGTTTAACAAACGCTAAACGGTATTAATCGCTCTCAAC